TGCTCTTAAACTTCTTCTCGTCGACGTGCACGTACTGATAAGGCTCATTCTCATTGTCCTCATAGCCGTACCACTCCCCTTTTCGTTCCCATTGCCTTCTCTCGTCCTCGAGATAGGTGATCTCCCCATTCTCGTCGACATCGGGTACTTCCTTGAACCATACCATTTTCTCGGGGATCTCGGACTCGCCAGACCATCTTGATGATTCGCTCATTGCGTCGTCATCATGCTCGTGGTAGACAGTCTCGGCTTCATCCGGTTCGACCTGGTCAACGTCCTTCTTGAAGCTGACCTTTCCCGCAGGAGCCGATTGCTTCAGGACTATCGCAGGCATCGCGATGGCCCTTCTTGCAATAGCTGGCGCTGCGGCCTTGGCGGCAGCCTTCGACTTGGCTTGCGCCTTGTCGCTTGACGTTGCCGGAGCTGAGTTGTTCTTGATGAGCTCGTGCCTATACTTGCAAGCACTCCCCCTGTCGCATTTCCCCTTCTGAAACGCGAAGCATGCTCCATCATCCCTCTTTGGTGACGATGATCTGGATTTGGACTTACCTTTTCCTTTCCCTTTGGACATGTTCTCCAGATTGTGCTCCGTCTTCTTGCTGTGGGAAAATGTGCATTCATTCCCTTTTACGCATCCCTTCGCTGACTTGAAGTGATACCAACATGGGTTATCTTTACTTCCGCCCGGACTCTTGCCTCTGTCGCTGGCACCGTCGGACTTGCCGTTCTTGCCAGCGTGACCCTTTGCTTTGGCCTTTGGGAATACAGGAGCAGCATCAGGTCCACTGGGTTTCCCCTTCCTGCCTTTGCCACCCTGGTTCTCCTGTTTGCCAGTGGCCGGGGCTGCATCTCTGCCGCCCGACTTCATCATTGACTTGACCGATTTCTCCTTCATGTCAAGCATCAGGTCCTCCCGATCCGCCTTAATCTGATGGTCGATCAATGCCAACAAGAATTCGTACGTCTTTTGAGGATGCTTGTCCGGCAATCTATGGTAGGCGTTGAGACCGAACTCCATCTTCTTGCTCCCTTTGATCTTCCTGTAGAGAATATCTCTGAGAGCCAACTTGCTGGGTCTGTCTTCGCTCCTCATCTTTAGCAGCAAATCATACCACTTGTTCCTGAATATAACCAAATTCTTGTCTCCAGGAAAGTCAAGGTTGAATAGGTGCTCGATGTGGTAGACAAGATCCGTTCTATCAGATGTTCTGAATGATTGCATAACCAATGCCACCAACTCTCGTCCCTTCACGATCACTCCTTGTTGATGTCGTAGTTCCGAATGTCGCGTAGCGTCGAGGTACACGTCTTTGGCTTCGTCAGGTGCTTGTTTCAACATGTTCTGCATGCCCATGGCCATCTTGATATCTATCGTAGCAAATCTGTCGCCGCCGGAGTCGCTCAGCACATTCAGGTCTGGGTTTAACCCAAGAGCCTGTTCCAACCATTTCGTCCATGTGTCAGTATCTGGATCTGCGCATGCGCTCAGAACATTCATCAGCAGTTGCATCTTCCAGTTATCGAGTTGATGGATCTTTGGCCAAGCAGGAATAGACACCCTCTCGGCTTCTTTCCTCGAAATCCTCGGTCTTTCGCTCTTGATTTCTCGATCATCCCTCGATCTTCTGCGCCTCCTCCGTGTCCGATTGTCATCTTCTTCCTCTTCTTCTTCCTCGTCTTCTTCGTCCTCCTCATCGTCGTCATCCTCGTCCTCATCACCGGGTGGATCATCCGGAGGTCCTCCTCCGCCACCTGTGAGGCTCAACTGACGTCGACCTGCCCCTTGTCCATTTCCATTGGGCGAGAATCCACCGTAATCCAATGGGGGTGTAGTACCGTTGTTTCCCCCTCCATCACCACCACCAGTTGTAGTAGCGGATTGTGGGACATGCCCAACAACCCCTTGCATCTGGGATAGGTGTACATCGATCATTGGATCACCAAAAGACGGAAAGAGAATCGAACCTGGCATTAGTGACGAATTAGGGATCAGATTCGATGATGATGACGGGAATAACCCAGTCACCCTCTTGTCTACCCTAGTCGAATTAGCTTGGGGTCCTCCCTCAGCGCGTTTCACTACTGCTCGTTCACGATGTCCATCTTTACTGCTGGAGGCTTCCTGTGTTTCCAGCTTCGTGCTCGTAGTTCCTCATTGTCAGCATCGAGTTGACGAACAAAACTCTCTTCTTGCTTGAGCGTCGCCTCCCGATCCTTCAGTTGTCCCTGAAGTTCACGCATCTCCTCGAGGTACTCATCATACACTCCTTTAGCTGTCAATCTCCAGTACTCGGCCTCCTTCGACTTCTCGTCCATCGTGCACCGCTCTTCTTGTTTTGCTTCTCTGACCTGGGCTAACTCCAATATCGCATCTTGACGATGACCACCCTCGATAGCAATCATCTGGTCCTTCTTCAACACGTCGGATTCGTACTGTTTGACGATCTCTTCCTTCTCGCGAAGTAAGCACTCTGCTCTCTTCGATTCTTGCTCCGCGAATGTTGTAACGTCGTTCAGTCTCGCCATCAGTTGCTCCCTGGAGTCCTCCATAGAGTACGTCTCGGGGCGTTTGACGAGCGCATGCTCCAACTGTGATTTTAGACTTTGGACCATCTCCTCCTCGTTGAACTTCTCGATAGATGTAGACGATTCAATACCTCTGATCTGTTGCTGATAAACTGATATTTGTTGTGAAGCCTCACGGTGTATCTGATTTGCACGTATAGCTGATTCCTGCGCGGCCGACTTCTCGCTTGCCATGTAGGATTTCATCACTGCAATCTCCCGCTTCTGCTCCATAATAGTTCCTTCAGCTTGTCTCATCTGTTGTATGACTCCATGTCTTTCTTTTCCCCGTACTGATATGCGTTCATTTCCACCTTGCGCATCTGTTGGGCTTCCTCCTCAAACTTGCGCCATGCCTCAGCCATGTGGTGTTGGTGGTGACTCACAAGATGTCCCGATTGCTTGCTGGCAATCTCGCATCGTCTCTCCAGCTCCTGGATCCGGATGGTGCTCCCATAGTCTTCTTGATGAAGATTCGCCATCGCTGCCGACATTTCATCAAGTGTCTTTTGATATTCACCGATCTCCATCTCCATCTTGTTCTTTTCTTTAATCGCGGCGCGAAACTCTGCACTGGTGGGTGATTTAGACCTCCCACCTTTTGATGTTGACCTCACGCCCTTCTGCGACGTCCGTGGTGTCGCAGGCGAAGATGATGATCTTCTCGGCGGGGTTTCTCTTTGCTTCGACTCCTGATGAACATCGATCTGCTTCCATGATCTTGTGGGAGTGGATATGTCGCTGAATAGCGCGGATCCTCCGCTCCCAGGTTCATCCTGTGAATCTGCGATCATATCCATCACCGCAGGAAGAGCCATCAATCCATTGGATCCCTCTGAGCTGCTGTTCCGAAAAGTTGCAGTACTTGGGCTCGCTGAAGATGCCATTGTACCGTGTAGGTTATTGTCCCTTTATTGTCCCTGTACCCGCAATAAACCAGCTGTCTCTCTGTCCAGTGTAGAGCTTGTCGTTACGGCTGATAACCTGTCAAGAGACGGCAAGGTGACGTCCGGTGGGACGCTGTCCACCGAACCCTCCAGCTGTAAATACCAACCACGTAGAAAGGTGTATACGGTCAAACCGTTATAGCCGACCCGTGCAAGTGTTGTAAGGGAGAAGGAATAATAGTTACAACAGTGGTCCTGACAAATGCAGCGCAGGCGAAGTGTTTTCCGCTCTCAATTGCCGATCACGTATGAACGCAGCTTCACATAAGATCTTGAACCTCACTTGTGACTTGAGCCAAATGGCAATCAATGGAACCTTGTAAGCAACACAAACACGGACCTCAGAACTGCTTCCCAATTTAGGCACGGGGCCAGGAGGGTTTTAACATGTAAGATGTGGTCTTCGGGTGTACAACTTAGCCGTAAGCACACTTTGGACTTATTCAGGGGACCTGGAAATGGATCTCGAAGGTTGTGGCTAACCTCTGGTTTCAACTGTGAAGAGCATGTTTGGGTTTCCTTTAGAAGGAAAGCAGGATCTTGGCAAACAACAACGGTCATAACTGCGCAGACATGACTGCACATTGACCAGAATGACCAGAATGACCAGAAAGCCCGGAAGTTGGCAGGTCGTGTCTGAGAGGTTGCGTGCAAGACTCCATGGGGCCTCGACAAATCGGCGCGGCAAAGGGGAGAGCAGGTTCAAAGATCTTGTTCTAGCTCACAATTGGGGCCCAGTGGGTTGAACCGCGGTTTACACAACTTGCATCCAACTGCACATACTCGTGAGCACGCAGCATTCACCAGAATCCGTGTATAAATAGATATATGTATATATTAGAGGTCTGCCCCCCCCCCGGTAGCCTTAAATAGGGCCCCACCCCTCCTGTGGGCCCGCTGGTTTTGCAGGTTACGGTCATCTTGCACCTCTCCCTTCCCTGTGGGCTTGCTGGTGGGTCAGCTTAGGGCCAAGGCTTCAAGAGTCGTACCCAGGTCGCCCCCCCTCCTCCCCCAGTGGGCCCGCTGGTTTCCCAGGTTGTGGTCATCTTGCAAAAGGCCTCTCCCCCCCCCCCCCTGTATCCCGCTGGTAGGTCAGCTTAGGGCCAAGGCTTCGAGAGTCGGACCCCGGGCGAGCGGCCCACCCCCCCCCCCCCCCCGAGAAAATGGCCGCTCGCCGACCGGAACCATATATACATATATTCTTGTATGCGCACGCTTCACACAATAGAACCTTCTCTCTTTGGTGGCTTCTCGGGAGAAATAAAGAAAGAAAAGGGAAGCCATCTCCCAGCGCTCTGCAGAGGAGAGGAACCAAAGCTCGGAGAGGCCGAGCTACCTGCTGGTGCTCAGCAGGGAATGAGGGAATGACTCGCATAAACCATCCAACTGGCGGTTTTTTAAGTTGACCGAATCCTGGGTTCATTCCCACATTCCGTGCCTATCGCACCAGCAAGGCTACGGGATGCCAAGCCTTTAGCCCCAGCCCCGCCTCCTGGCGCCGCTTCCGCTCCTCCCGCAGCTGGGCATCCCGCAGCAGGTCCTTCTGCTCCCGGCGCTTGCGCCGCAGCTCCTCGGCCCAAAGAAAGGTCGCGGCCGTGCCGTGGACCCAGAGAATCAACAGTACGATCATCACAAGGTTGATGTTGATGATGATGATGATGATGAAGGGATGATGATGATGCTGATGATGATGATGATGATAAAGGGATGATGATGATGATGATGATGATGATGATGATGATGATGATAAAGATGATGATGATGATGATGATGATGATGATGATGATGAAGGATGATGATGATGATGATGATGATGAAGGATGATGATGATGAAGGGATGATGATGATGCTGATGATGATGATGATGATGATGATGATATGATGATGATGATGATGATGATGATGATGATGATGATGATGATGAAGGATGATGATGATGATGATGATGATGATGATGATGATGATGATGAAGGGATGATGATGATGATGATGATGATGATGATGATGATGATGATGAAGGGATGATGATGATGATGATGATGATGATGATGATGATGATGATGATGATGATGAAGATGGATGATGATGATGAAGGGATGATGATGATGATGATGATGATGATGATGATGATGATGATGATGATGAAGGGATGATGATGATGATGATGATGATGATGAAGGGATGATGATGATGATGATGATGAAGGGATGATGATGATGATGATGATGATGATGATGATGATGGTCGTGATGATGATGATGATGGTGGTGGTGGTGATGATGAGCAATGACAGGAATAAGCAAACAGATGATAATGTCTGTGTGATATTCTAGTGCAACTCATGTAATTAACTATCTAGTGATTCATTAATTCGTTCATTCATTCATTCATTCATTCATTCATCCATTCATTCATTCATGTCATTTCATTTCATTTCATGTCATGTCATTTCATTTCATTTCATTTCACTTCATGTCATTTCATTTCATGTTGTTTCATGTCATTTCATTTCATTTCATTTCATTTCATTTCAGTTCAGTTCAGTTCAGTTCATTCATTCATTCATTCATTCATTAATTCATTCATTGATTCATTCCATCCATCCATTCATTCATTCATCCACCCATCCATCCATCCATTCCATTCCATTCCATTCCATTCCATTCCATTCCATTCCATTCCATTCCATTCCATTCCATTCCATTCCATTCCATTCCATTCCATTCCATTCCATTCATTCAGTCATTCATTCATTTTTTCTTTCCTGATGTATTTCATGCATGCATGCATGCATGCATGCATTCATTTCATTCATGCATTCATTTCATTCATGCATTCATTCATTCATTCATTCATTCATTCATGCATGCATGCATGCATGCATTCATTCATTCATTCATTCATTCATTCATTCATTCATGTCATGTAATTTCATGTCATTTCATTTCATTTCATTTCATTTCATTTCATTTCATTTCATTTCATTTCATTTCATTTCATGTTGTTTCATGTCAATTCATTTCATTTCATTTCATTTCATTTCCATTCATTCATTCATTCATTCATTCATTCATTCATTCATTCATTCATTCATTCATTCATTCATTCATTCATTCATTCATTCATTCATTCATTCATTCATTCATTCATTCATTCATTCATTCATTCATTCATTCATTCATTCATTCATGCATGCATGCATGCATGCATGCATGCATTCCTTCCTCCCTCCCTCCCTCCCTCCCTCCCTTCCTTCCTTCCTTCCTTCCTTCCTTCCTTCCTTCCTTCCTTCCTTCCTTCCTTCCTTCCTTCCTTCCTTCCTTCCATCCTTCAATCATTCATTCATGCATACATGCATTCATGCGCATGAATGTATTCATATCATTCATTTCATGAATTCCACTAATTTCACTCGCTTCATTTCATTTCATGCCATCAAGTCCAATCATTCATTCCTGCATCCGGAAGATTCTCCTTCTGTTGACATAGGTTTCACTTTCCCTTTGTCATCCACTTTCCAGGGCTTTCAAGGGGCAAAGGAAGAAACATCGCTAAAGAAATGTACAGAAGGGACATGGGTGTGCGACCTCTGAGGCTTCTCGTTGTTTGGTTGAGAAGGAAAGCCAAAAGGAGGGCTCCCCATTTCACACAAATCCACCTTTGTGGGGAATCCACAGAGAGTAATCCGGTGGGATGTCCGGCAACCCAAAACATCTGAATTCCTCCTGAAACACACCAGAAGGACATTGTGGTCCATGCGCCGGCGAAAATTTGTTTGGGCCAATTTCAAAAAAGGAACCAACACGGGTGTCTAAAATTGAGGACCCCCCGCCAAATGGTGGCTTTCCATTGGTGTCCTTTTCAGATTGACACACACACACACATGACACTAACCATTCAAGAGCATCCCTTCAAGGATTCTTCGATTCCCACCGTTTCCCAACATAAGGCCCTATTGAAGGAGGCTTTGGTCTGGCTGTGGGTCAAAAATGTGTATCCACTTTGGAACCCTAGTACAGGTAACCAAGGACTAAAACCTGCGGTCCCCTGGCGCTTTAATTTTGACCCATACCCATCTGTTGACAGCGTGACGCCTTCGCAGACCCTCCGAGAGAGGCGTCCTCCTCAGCGCGGGCGGCTTCTTCCGCCTTTCCTGAGCCAAGCAAAAAGCCAGACCCGCTCCCGCTTAGGGCCAAAAGAAACCGTTGGCTTTCCAAGGCGTTTCTTGGGGGGGGGTCTTTACAAGGAGGCTCCTCGTTTTGGGCCATGGCTGTGGGTCAATCATCGATCTTCAAAGAGAAGCGGCATGAACCCATTGGGGGCAGCCAACAACGGTGGTTGACCATATGACAAATGTAAATTATAAAACACATGAGTCCATGCGTAACACATATGGCGCCTGTATGATAGGCACGGCAGGCATGATACCAATTACACAGTTTGACACGCAAAACGCAAATTAAATGACACACGCACACACAACACCAGTTTCACAATCCATCAATATGGCACGTGAGGCACGACCACTTTCTGGGACTCCTGGGTTGGTGTTCAACGGGAAAACCAAAGGTAACCAACGCTCTTGAAGCCGCCTAGAACAACTCTGTTTGTACTCTTTGGGGGCTCCCATGTTCAACCAAAAAGGAGCGAGGGCAGTGGTGAAAAGGTGATAAACCTCAATTCAGGAGACAAGCTCCTCATTGAAGCCTGCAGTTCCCCCGATGAATACCTCCTGAGATTGGGGACCCCAGCTGATTTTGGATAGGGAAACACACGTGGGCCATGATCAAAACTCCTTATGTGGGTCACGGTCTTCGGTCTCCTGAGAGTCTGTTCGAGCGATGCGCACTTTGGCACAGAAGTGAGACAAAATCAAGAAGGAAGCTAGTCATCCCAAATCAAGGCAAAAAGGAAGTCTTAGTCCATGTATCATTCAGAGAGCGAAGGATCGCTGGGGCACCAATTGCAAGCGCTTACCGCAAGAATACGCGCGCAAGGCATGTCGGCACAGCCTCCCAAGCAGTGGTCCAGGCATGTTGGTTCCCAAGCTGATCATACCGCCGTTTCCAAGAAGAGCGAATGAAGTTCCAACGAGTAAAAGCACGTCTTAACTGAGTAGGTGCAGCCCTATGTGGATCAACAAGGAGCCTTTACAATGGCGAACTAAACTCCAACTAAGCCATCCCTCCTAAGCCCAAGTTAACGGGCCTTTTGACCATGGCGCATGTAGACCCGCCAGTCGGAGGAGTCTGCCTAGTTGAGGAACCCACTGGTATCGATTTCTGGCTATTTCTCTTGGTATCTTGAACAAAGGGGAAAAAGCACCATACGCATCAAGTGCAAAGTGATTTTACACTGGGTACGCATTGAAGGAAGGGAAGCTACCCCCCGAAGGGAAACCAAAAGGAGGTTGCTAAAACCATGCTAAATCAACCCAGCAATACCCAAGTTTAAACCAAATGATTTGCCGATTACTTCAATAGTTGTTTCATATTTCCGATTCATCAAACGTTGCCATGTATGGCTTAAACATGCTGACCCCAGACCTCGCGTTTGGGCAGCTACATGAGGTTGAAAAGGCTGAGGGTGCCGGATCTTGCGTTTATTGAACATGGCGGATTTTAATGTTAAAGGTCGGTTTCCCAGTTTCCCGTCCTGGTTGCCAATGTTTAGACAAGGGATCCTGTTTGGCCTTCTGGGAAATAGATGGCACTGCTCCATGATAAGGACCAAACTGAAACCAGCGCCATCTATGTTTTAACTAAGCTAAGCTACCAAGGACACCTATGGTCAAGGGTTAGGGTTCAGAACTGTATCTTTCCAAAAATGGGAGGGGGGCCGCACCTACTTTCACCCCCCCCCCAAAAAGGACACCCAAAAAAAGAGCTCACCGAGCTGAGCGAAAATCAATGAACCGAGCCGAGGCTTGCCCCAAGCCTGCCCCGAGCGAACGGGCAGCGACCGACTTGCCAAACGAGCGGCGCTTCTCGTCCAACGCCGCCTGCCGCTTCTTCTCCTCCGCCTGCCGCGCCTGCCGCGCCTCCTGGCGCGCGGGACTAAGGGCGCGAGGCCGAGGGCGCAACTCCTAGGGCTCCGGGCTCCATCAGGGATGGGTTGATATGATTAGATGGGTTAATGTTATTAGAAGATGTGCGTGTGTGTGTGTTGTTACTTCTATTAATTACATGCTGATATCATAGCGCAGAAGCAACTACTGGGCGCTGGAGCAATAGTCCTGCTCAGGTGGCTGGCAGGTGTGTCTAAGAGGAATTCTGTGCACCCTTTGGCTTTGTGGTGGTTGTCTCCTGGAGCAAACCCCGAAGCCTTTCCGCTCCCACTGGCCACAGCTGCTACTTTTTTGGGCTGCAGACTTCGCCTATGGTTTTGGCGTGGGCTTCCCAAGGCTCCTAAACTTGTTTCCTACATGTGCGCCGTCGGTTTTAAGACGTCTCTCCCCCACGTGCCCGCGGGTGTGCCGCGGTGCCCAGGGTTTCCCGTGCCTGGTCGGCGGGTTTCCCGCAGGCTACCAAGGTGTGGCAGGCTTCCCTTGGGTTTCCACGGGTTCGCCACGGTGTGCGGCTTCCCCAGGTTTCCCGCAGGTTTCCCTTGAGTTCCCTGAAGTTTCCACTCACATGACAACCTTATTTGACTAATATTGTATGAGTGATAGTCCTCTTATTCACGAGCCAGTATCATGTGCCTGTTTATCAATGTCATTACTCGTCATCAATCATATCAATGTAGGGGAACCCTCCTCTTGGTTGGCTTGTCGTGTTTGTGGCGAGAAGATCTAGGAAGGGAAACCGGAAGCAAACCCTTCATCATTCCCCCAACTAAGGCTTTGTGTTCAAACGGGGATAGGCCGTTGCCCTTTGGTTTGCCTGTAAAGCAGTTCCTGCACCCTCAAACGCCCAAAACACAAAAAAAAGACGCTCCCGGGCCCCAGGCAGTGAAGTGTGTTCAGAAAGCGAGCTGAGCCACACCTTTTGCCTGGGAAAAGTTCAATGGGTCCTCGTCAATGGACCCACACAACCTCTGACCATTCATACCCCCTATGTACGTCGTATAAAAGGGGCGTGTTCTCCTTTCTTTATTGCCTATTGGTAATCTCTGGCAGGCGTTCAATTCAACTGTTCATTTTTGTTCTGGCAAAGGACGCATTTAGAAGGACACTTTTCAGCTACTCTCAAAGCAATACCTGACGTACATGCGCCCAGGCATACAGTAGACATAGCGTCGCCACAAGCCCCGCCGACGGCAACTAACTTCCACCTCTTCTCTCTGCTTCTTCTGCCTCTGAATCTCCTGCTGCGCACACTCCTGCATGAGATCAGGTGCACAACGGGGCACAGAAACCCCGCAAAGAGGCTTCCAACTAGGTGTCCAAGCCGTAGCCACCAACCGATCAAAAGGGAACTCACTTCAACTGGCGTTGAAGGGTGACGTTTCAATTTCTCCAACTGCAAGGAGTTTGTGGAACCCTGGAACGTCATAGGAGAAACACTGGACTGCAAGAAGTGGGCACGAACTTTCCGGAAGTTCATCACAAAGCACCAAATAAGCAGGGTGCCAAGTGTTCATCACAGTCTTCCCTCGAAACACAGACCCCCCTAAATGACTGGAAGCTTCACAGATAAGGGGTCAACATTTGCAGTAAGGACACGGAATCTCAAAAATTGGTGTGCCTTTTTTTCTCTCTCTCTCTCTCTCTCTCTCTCTCTCCCCCTTGTCTTTCCGTTGTAAGGATACCTTTATGGGGTGGCGGATGAGAGCAAAAAAAAACACCAAGGCAAGCGAGTGTCTGCGTGGTGGGCTGCCTTTGTGGCTGACTGCCTTCAACCACAACGTACGAGTCGCGCGCCTGCGCCTCCTGCTGCTCCCTCAGCTTGCCTCAGCGACGTGTCTGGCGACGTGTCTGGCGCTTGCCTCATGGGGACTTGCAACCTCCCAGGTTGGCTTCGTCTCAAAATGCGATGGATGTGTCGTGTGTCTTGTATGAAACCTCCAACGTGAGCAGTTTCCCTTTTGCTTCCCGCTGAACGAAGAAAGAAAAGGGGTACCCTCGAAAAAAAGACACCAGCAAAAGGGTTTGACTCATTTGGTGGATCCACCCTGGATGGGTGCGAACAAAGCAAGAAGAGGGTACCAGACAAGACAGCGGCCAGAACAGGTCGAACCCACAAAACGCGCATCCAAACCTCTCTTCTAGAAACCCTTGCTTGCACTCAAAAACACGAGTTGCTCAATTGCTCACTGCGAAATTGTCGATGTTTGAAAGGTGCAAAAGGTTAAAGCGGTACCAGGGAGCAACCATGCTGTAATCAGGTGGTACTTTCTTGTCCTACTCACGTAAAAGTGTCTCCAAATCCCATCCGGGAACATGGTGCTCGCAGCAAATCATTGTTACTTATTTTTGAAAGAAAATAGAACCTTGGCGAAAGCAAACAGGTGGCTAGACCAAAGGTTTTGGGGTGAAGGAAGCATCTTGCTTTTCTCAGGACCACGCTTTCCTTCAATCAAAGACGACGAGAGGGCCAATGGCCTAGGCCGCCTACACCGCACACGCATCTCCATCGAAAGGTGCGGGAGCAGCACTGTGCGTTTCTTTGGACTTTGCTTTGTGTTTTGTAACGATTCCATGCTTTAGCTCGGCGAAACACGGTTCTGTCGCGAGCGCTCGCACGCACGTCCGCAAGCCTGACAGGAAACCAACCTGTCAAACTGTACAACTGGGAATGCTGGTGAGCCGTCCTTTTGGCTTGCTCTCACTATGGTCCCTGGTCGTTGGCTATTTTTTGACTGACCAACGGTGGAAGAAGCAATCCATCCATCTGACTATTTTGTCACTTTTTGTCATGGTTTCCACACAGAAAATGGAAATCTGAAACATTGCCATGGTTTGCGGGAAGCGCTCACTTTCTACTTTTCGCCGCTATATCAGTTTGGGAGCTCTTGGTTTGGGAGCTTGATTGGAACTTTCACCCAAAAGTCCATGTTTTGTCCCACAGCCCAAAACGCGCAAACCATGTCCCCTTCTCCACCCCTCCCAACATGGTCAAAACCCCGTACCCCCAGTGACCATCCCAATCCACACTAAAATAGACGAAGATGGGTGGTGAATTCACCTACCCCAAAATGGGATTCCATTAGTTTTGACCCCCTCCCCACATTTCTGCCGGGCCGCAAATCTTTGCCTCCAGCATGCGCCGCTGGAGGCGCTTCTCCGCCTGAAGGGAAGGAGACGTGACCTGCTTCCAGCCGGGAGGGTTTTGAGGTATATGGCTGTGGGTGAAAACTAATGGGATCCCATTTTGGGGAAATGGTGCACCACCCGTTTTAGAACCGATGTTAGTGGGGATTGGATGTTCACTGGGGGTACAGGATTTTGACCCATGGCCATATCCAGCCAATGGGTACAGTTCGCAGTTAGCACACAGTCGACGTTTTGCCTGGGCATGTGCCGGCCACAATTGGGAGTTCATGTGCCAACTGCTTGTTGCACGCTCTGGCCAATAGCAACCAGTGGCCCGAGCGATAGAAAAAGGGAACCCACTTCGGGGCTGATTGCATGTCCAGTATGCTTTGCGCTAGTAGAACCACTTGACTGAAATGGCCAGCGGGGATTTTGGGATGTACGGTCCTCTGAATCGGGCCAACCTACAAAACCCACACAAATCACCAAATCACAGATCACAGGAACAAGTGCTATGTGGACTTTAGATGAGGTTTATTCGGAGGTTGTACAAGTTTTCGCTTGTGCAGGGTGATTTCGGGAGTATAGTTTAAACCCTTGAGTGAAGGAAGGGGACTTCCAGCCAAGAGGACGGGGGGAGGCTCAAAACTGTTCGACATATGGGCATCCGTCAAACAAGGTCTGAGCTGAAACCGAGCTGAAAATGAGATAAAAGACGTGTTTTTTGCGGCGCCGAAATGGCCCAATGTTGTCTTTTTGACACACTGCCACATGTTCTCCGCATGGCTCAATGTATCCGACATATGCTACTAACTCTGCAAATGGATACGGGTAGATAGGGAACATCAAAAATCCTGGAACTGAAGAGATGCGGCAATGGCTGTGAACAGGATGCGACAGGATGCAGCACAAGCAGCAAAAGCAGAAGTAAATCGGATGTGGGTGTGTCTTTTATCGATGGTACCCGCTGGCAGCTGTTTAAAACACACACGCAATAACAAACAGACAGAGAGACAGACAGACAGACAGACAGACAGACAGACAGACAGACAGACAGACAGACAGACAGACAGACAGACAGACAGACAGCCAGACAGACAGACAGACAGACAGACAGACAGACAAACAAACAAACAAACAAAGAACACATTTGAGTGTCCCTTATTTTGCAACCCCTATTGCCTGACTGACAAAACAAAGATGCTGATAGCTGGTGTTGCCCCAGATCTGTCATCCGAAACCAACATAACAACCCTTTCGGCCAAACCATGACGGCACCCTTGGTGTTCCGTGGCAAACCAAAACCCAGTTTCGCATGCAAACCCATGGGAGCATCTCTGGGGTTGGCCGTAAAGGTTTGCCAAGAAGGACGTCGACTCCAAAAACAGGCCACACGCGTTTGAACCCCTGGTACAAATCCCCTAGTTTTAGTGTTATGTCAATTCTGACTGGATTGTTGGAAACCTGCCATGAAAGGAGCCCAGAATGCATTGCGACGGGTCTATGTAAGAAGCAAAGTACATGTGGGTCGAGTTCCATGTTGCATCTGGTTGCCTTTTCCGACGGGAACCCGGAAAGTACACCCGGAAAACCAACAAGAGGGGTCCCTATTGTTAAAACAAGCAACACCTTGAGGGGAGAACTCGGGAACGTCTGTTGCTCAAAGCTGTGCTGCTCAAAATTGGGATCCCGAATCCTAATCCTGAATCCGCAACTTGCGCTACACGTACAGGATTGGTTAACAACACAAAAAGGGGAAAGGCCAAAAAAAGACGCTTTCCCTTCTGGTGCTCCTTCAAACCAGCCAGAAAAGGGTACCTATCCTCTCAACAAACAAAACCCCAACAGGGTTCGAAGCAGCGACTTCGACGTGCACCTCCTTGCGCTTCTCTTCCGCAATCTGCACGCGCCGCTGCTGCTCGGCCTGCTGTGCTTCCTGGCGGCGAAAACGCACGCAACAAATCCCCGCTTCCGCCAAGGCGGGAAGTTGAAAAAAGAGGCCAAGAAACATGTTATTTTTTGTTCCCACGCTGTTAGTCCCCTGAGTTGTCCATTTCAAACGGGGAAAACCATGCCGAAAGCATGGGAAATGGAACCCCTTCTGTACCAAACCCAGGATTGGCGGATGGAGCCTGTAGCCGCTGGGGAACTGGAGCAATCCCGCGCGTTGATCATGGCTGAAATCAGAAACGGACCTTTAACAAAGGAACCAAGTCATGGGACCTCACATCGGTCGCAAACTGGAACTGGTCTGAGGTCACTACGCTTTGACCAGATTCAGCAGATGTCGGAAGAAATTTGGCTAATAAGAGCCACAGAATGAGCAAGATGCAAACAGGGTATGAGTGTGTCTTCAAGGTCCCCCACCCCTTCTTGGTTCTTAAGAAGAATAAAAGGCAGCCATGCATTTTGTTAAGGCGGGGGCTCGCATTTTGAGACAACCCAAAATCCGCCCCTGAGCCTCGTGAGACTCCGGAAAAGGACCCTTTTCTGCTTGGGACTGTCCACATACTGCCCTTCAACCCACATTTTGATCGTGGCCGAAGGGTTCCTCTGTGGCTCACCCACATTTTATTTCACCAACAAATATGGAAGTGTGTGCTCGACCCTTTTTTGAAGACGAGTTTACTCTTGAAAAGGGTCTGGCTTGTAAGCCATTTGGCGGGGTGTGCTTCAAGCATCCTCAACGACCTCCAGTGGGGTGTGTCCTTCTTGCAACTCGCTGTCGGAGCGGCTTTCCCAAAGTCAACCACCCAAAAAACGCTGTGCCTTTTTGTCTTCGGGAAACCGAGTAGAGGTCTGGGGCAACAATCATGGAAGTGGATAGACTACTGTCCTCCTACAAAGGCCAGAAATCGGGGGATGAAAGAGGCACCATGAACTGAATAGATCAAACACTGGAATGCAAAAGTAAGCATCAACAAATGAATCTCTTTATATAAATGTGTATATATATATATGTGTACATACATATGTATGTATATGTACATATATATATATATATATACACCATTAAAATCAAAATATTTCTGTCAACCCTTCAAAGCTGCCTTGTTTTGTGCGGGATTCAGGGCCAAGGTCCCGCCTGCTCCTTCTCCTGCAGCCGCTGTGCCGCCGCCCGCGCGGCGCGCGAGGGCTGGCTCGCGCCCTGCGCTTGGCTTTTCGATGGCGGTTGCTGACGCCAGTCGAACCCAACCCTAACTGAATTATGCAACTGAACACCCATATGGCTGCGGGTCAAAATTGGGTCACCCCAAAATGGCTTGCCCTGGTCTGCGGTTTTGTTTCTGGCGGCTTAATTTTGACCCATACCCATACCTAGCCAAACCAAAACACCAGTCGAACCTACTCCCAACTGAGATATGCAGCTGAACCGACCCACCGGGCTCTCCCTCTATTCCCCTTGAAAACAAAACCAAGCAGAAAGCAACCAAAGCTGAAAGCTAACCAAAGCTAAAACCAACCAAACTCAAATCACACCAACCCCAACCAACCCCTGCCAGCCCCAACCAAGTCAGCTGTTCAAGCCCAAACAGGTCTACTTGTACTCCTGCTTCAATCCACAAGAGTGGCCCTTTCCCTAAACCCCAGCTCATCTGTTTGTTCCCTCCTTCCTCGCCCGAGCAAAGGCATGCATCTTACTCCACTCCCTTTGCCTGCCACAATCGGATGTCCGTGCAACTGCCCTGACATAAGCCATGCTTCGAGCATCCAATCATGATTCTAAGGAGCGCGCGAACACGGATCCCACATTTCCCCGAACCACAAGTTGTTTTCATGTTGTTTAAGCAAACTGTTGCTTTTTGTTTTTGACAAACTGCGGGGTCCAATAAACCTGACACGGTTGCCGGTCCAAAAAAGCGGCATCGTGGTCAAATCCCGCCTCCACCTCTGGCTCTGGCTCCAGCGGAGGGATCTCCTGAATGCAGCTTTCGCAAAGTGAGGCCCAAGAAGACCAGGATCGTAAAGGGGCAGGATCCCAGTTGTTCCGTGACCCTTGTGAAACAATACGGTGACCCTTTTGTGGGTGGAGAAGACTACCCCGTCCACGTTCCATGGCACCTGACCACGTTATTGGACAGGAGGGAAGCCTGAGGCCGGATGACCGTCCCCAGTTGTTTCATCTTCCCAGAGAGTTAACCAACATTAGGTGGCGTTGGGGTCGAAGGCAGCAGGAAAAACAAAAACGAAGCCTCTCGTTTGTGTGCCTCGCGTTTTTCGTTGACCCTCCTAAGTGTCCTTCAGTTCGGCAAATCAACGAATTTGCGCCGAGACGGCCGCAGCGGAACAAACAAGTTCCTCACGGACAGCACAAAACGACCGCTCATGCTAAGCACGAAGTCTTGGGGAGCAGGGGCTGCAGTCGAAACACGCAGCGTAAGATTGGGACCAGGGTTCACCTTGCCTCCTCTTGGGTTGACGGACAAGGGGTCTGAAAGTGTAGGAAGAAACAAGGGGGACAGCTTTGACTTTCCAAGATGGCCACAACGTGCGAGGATGCGCCAAGCACGCTGGAAATGGTTCCACCAAACTGGAAGGTGCACACAAACCTCGCTATAGTCGCCTACAAACACTAGGTGCCCGGCATCCGTCCCACCAACCAGCACGGAACCTATATCATCGGGGGTCCTGGAACTGCAATTGTCCGCTACAACGAGACCCTCTGATGTGTTTCATGCGGGAGATCAGTAGAACTCTCTACTAGAATGGCCAATGGGGTGCTTTGAGTACTGCGCAGGGCTTAAGTAGTCTGCTAGAGTCGTGCAACAGGGTTCCTTACACGCCCCCTTTAACCATCACCCCATCAAAAGGAAACTCGCTGAAAATGTACCTCAGCTGTTGACCCAAACCAAAAAATACGTCCTTTGATCATGGCATATATTTCATGGCCCTTGAACAGCTTTAAAAGAGACCCAAAAGATCTACACCATCTGAAAAGAGCAAAACATATCCTGTGCAAGGGGACTGCTAACGCAGGCGTGCTGTGCATCGAAGCCTCTGGGCTACCAGGCTCTCTTCGACATGAATGTTCCATTGACCCAAACCACAAATGCATCGCTGCAAGGACGACCCCACATCAAGCGCTATCCCAAACTGGACTCAAGTAGTCCCAAAATGGGTTCCCAAGTCACACGAAGAGCAAAGTGCTCCGCCCTGGACACAGACTGCTGGGATAAACATGGATATAAAGCAACACAGGCCCCCGATTTGTTCTCCATAAATATGGCCTTCCCTAAAAAATGTGAAGTTCGCTGCATTACAAGTCTCAAGGGAATGGCATTCTTGCATTCGATGGCCCTTTTTGGCCAACAGCTCTCATCGTGAATCAAAGCAAGTGTGACCAGCTTTGCATTGGCTTTACCCATAACTCCCAATAGGGGTCCACCAACCCAGCTCCAACTCAAGCCAACTGACCTCAAGGTCTAAGAATGTGGGTTGCATTGGACCTGGTAAAGTCACCCAACAAGATTCCCATCGATTCATATAGTTTGCATATGTACCGTAACGCAATGCTATGTCATGTATTATGTTTGCATACAGCTGCGAGGTGCTTAAATGTATGTACTATGTATTCTGCATTATTATTGTATGTATTTTGTATGTATATGTGTATGTGTGCACATGGAAAAAAACCACCAGACATATGCTCAAAAGAGCTTTGTGACATGTTTTTCGGCCGTCGCCAATTGCGACTGCCCCAGCACTCCAGCCTCCGCCTCCTCACGCTGCCGCTGGTAGGGCTTGGTGAGCCGCACGTTGTAGGCCTCGGTGTGCCAAGCGCTTGGAGCCCGCGGTGCCTTGCCGCCGGCAGCCTCATGATGGAGCCGTACCCAAATTGGGCTTCAAAGAAACGACCAAGTTCAGACTTTGAAAACCCCTAGTCTGAGTAATCACTCACTCCAGTGCAACCCCAACTGTGTTCCGATGGAGACCGCAACCGTATTCAGATGATTTGCGAGGGCAACCTGAAGAGGGGGTGGCGCGAGCAGGTACGAGGTGGTGAAATCAAGGTGACAGGACAGCCAAACATAGCCCAAACCCCATCCTGCCCCAGACCCGACCCATCCGAGACCACAGCCCGCATGGTGTTCCTGTGGACCTCCTCGAGGGATCGCACGTAGTAGCCACCGGGCATCGTCTTCCCTTGCCTTGACAGTGAGATGTCATGTTCAAACAGAAGGCTCTGTCTGGGCATTGTGCCACATCATCGCTCGAACATTCAAACAACCATTGTTCACACAGCCTCTGCATGATTTCCCTTAAGAGTTCCAGAGTCGTACCCTTAGGGCGTACCCCTAATATGCGTCATACACCAATTTAGCCTCATGTAAGACTAGCTCTTCCAAAGGCCCTCCTTTTTGGAGGGGTACGCCTAAGCGTACAAGTCTGGAAACTTCGATCCACAGGGGGGTGTCTCCAAACAGACCCTCACATTCGCTCTGATATTACTTAAAACAACCCCCCAACAAGGGCACCCTCAGAAAAAACACACACACACATAGGAGTAGCAGGTTGTGAAATTGGGTGATTCCGCTTGTATAGCAGGTAACAACCTACTACTTAGATGAAGAATGTCGTCTCTGGGAAAGGCATTCTGTTGGTATGGCAGCAGTGGGCAATTCCCAAAACCCTTCAACATAGAAGCGCATGCATACATATGTGTATATATATATATATATTTATTTATTTATGTATGGCAAGATTTAGCATCCGTTCCGATATATATATTTTGTACACGCACTAGACATATATCTATATATATAAGGCAGATTATATATGTATATATGTATGGAGCCAGTGTGCCAGGTGGTAAAACCGAACGTTTTGCGCTGCTTTGAAAGGGGGAAGGGGCCTGCAAGAGGCGCCATTTTGCCAACGTGGTAAATATATGACAATGACACCCGGCTTGAAATGAATACCCTAAGGCTATTCCCTCCTCACAGGGTGCATCTGTTAATAGGGAAGTGATCGTACGACTCATCAGACATTCCTCAAGGCAGACCCAACCCAAATGCAGCGCTTGCCGAGTTTGCCAACTGCGACCTCTGGAGCCGCAGCGGAAAAGCTCACGCAAAGGCACCCATTCTGCCTAATTTCTTGAGATGAAGCAAGGAGTGTCTCCAGAGCCACAGGACCAACGTGGAAGGCGTGGAGAAACTCGTTGGGCCTTTTTGTTTCAATCTCAGAACGGCGAAACCAGCATGAAGCCCCTGCTAAGGGTCCAACTCGTCTTGAGATTCACCCCTTTTTTGTTGCGGGCACCCTTTCGGAACCAAAAGGACAGCACCCCATTTTGGCAGCTCCTCCATTCACACAAAGCCAGGCCTCTCTCACCGAAAGCAACGTGCCCGCTTTGGCCCCTTTAGCCCGCCTGCGTGCTCTTGTCGGAAGCTCCTCCTCTGCCTCTTCCGGGAGCTCCGGCTCCTGCAAACAAACATGGAAGCGAAGAAACCCTCCTTCTTGGAGCACTTCTCCTTTTTGGGGTTCTCCTTTTGGGGGTCCCCTTTGGGGTGTCCCTGTTTGGGTGAGTGATTTGCATGGAAGCAAAAGATTGGCATGGAGCCAAACGTCAATTTGCCTGAGGCGGGTTTGGAGCCTGGGGATCCCACCAGTTGCACCGATCCAGCCCCAAGTTGGAGCCGTTTCAACCGGCCAAGGGACGGCCATTGGCTCAGAACGGTTTGTCCTTTTGACTAGGATTATCTCTCCAGAAAACCAGAACTTCTATGATAGAAGCGTTACATTGCGTGTCTTACCATCTTCTTTTTAGTAATGCCTGGCTTGTTTGGAGGATTTGGAAATTGTTTTGTACCTATCTCTCAAGGATCTCCAGAAGTGGTATATCCTAGAGTCAAAAATGTTTCTATCATAATTATTCTACTTTCAGATCTTTTCCTAATCCTTTCTTTAATCTCAGAATTTGGAGGTGGTACAGGATGGACATTATATCCACCATTATCCACTTCTTTTTATGACTTTATCACCTTCAAGTACAGGAAATCTTATATTAGGATTATTAATCTTACATCTCTTAACTTTTAGACAACAATTCTAGATCTGAGATCCTATTATCTGATATTAAAGAGGATCCCATGATTTCCTTTCTCTTTCTTGATTTCAGCTTTCATGACTTTATTAACATTACCTATCTTCTGGTACACTTCTTTTAATGTTGGGTGTTCTTCATTCTGATACACTTTTCTTTGATCCAGATTCCCTTTCTGAGCAAATCAAGTTGGACCCCTTCCAGGGTTTCCTACACATTCAAGGGGGGGTCCTGGTGTTCCAAACAGGGAGTCTAGATCAAGTCTAGATCAATGGGTTCCAGTGTCTGCCAATAGCGCCTCTTTTTAAGGCCTGATGCCATCTAATGGGAATGAATGTTCAAGTGGGAACCAACACTGACATCAGCAATACCCGAGAAAACTGGCGTGGCGGAAGCTGCTGACTTCAAAGCTCGGTGGAAACAAGGCCCGTGGCCTGTTTGCTGGTGATTGCCTGTAGCTGGACGGTCAGGCTTCTATGTCACTTGACGATGCGGTTTTCAGCTACTCTAGGGGTTGAATCCCCATTCTTCAGCCATGATTCTTTTCAAAAACCAGCCATTTCCCCAAGGCTTTTGGTGGTTTTCTAGAAAGAAGGATCCCTGGAAAGAATGGGGGAAGTTAATCGTAGAGCTACGCTTTGCAAGAGATGAGGATGTGCCGCGCAAGTCAGCATCCAAGGGGCTCACCCAGTTCGAAACAGACCATGTCTGAGGTTCGGTATCCTTTCGGAGGGAAAGCAACAAAGAAGCCGCCGAGTTGCGTACGCTTCAACATGGGGGAATGGACCCCAAAAGGGTGAAAAGGGTGGGGGTTCGCGTTGGTTTCCTTTAAAACCCAATCTTAAAAGGGGTACCAACTCCAACTCCAACAACCGCACCCCAGCCAAAACCCTCGGCCAAATCCGCCAGAGCCCGGCCTGGACCTGCGGCTCATCGACCTGGCGGAATCACAAGCTAGCTGCTTGCCTGACACACACAGGGTGTTTCTCAGGGGTCTGGAAAAGCCAATGATTTCCCCATCCCCTTCGAGTTTCCTCTTGGGACACTCCACAAATATAGGCCATTTACACACCCAGAAATCCAAAGGTTCGCAAAGCATCTCCACGCCTTTCTACTACCTGCCATTTTTTGGTTGCGGGGTTGGTTGGGCTCTTTAGCTCCCAAATCAACAGGGGAATGTGACCTTTGTTTATTTTCCTGGATCCCCAGATCGCCCAAAATCCATGGCCAGCTTGCTGTCTTGACACCCCCAACTTCCGTTCCCAAGTGCGAAGGAATAATCAAAGCCTTCACGTGCCGGCGAGAAGCGTGCTGCGCAGATTTAGATTCATCATACGGGTGAAAGGAGACCTGTCTAGGTGGCTGTCATCTTGGCTTCAAAACCATCCAAAAGAAGCCGCCTATTTTGAGAAACGCCCAACCGGTGGAATACCAGGAATACCCGCCATATACCAGCCACACTATGTGATGTGTATTCAAGAAGAGAGATTGCTTGTTGTTGATATGATATCTGATTCCAATTTCAAGATCACGATATGTCTATTTCAGCTCTTATCACTTATCGCTTCTCTATGCAAATCAGAGACCTGCAAGAAACTCTTCAAGAAAGTAGGCCCAATCTCTAGGCTTCTTCTTGATAAAGAAGGAAAACCAAAGGCAGATGCGCAAAATACTTCGGTTCCAACATCTGATCCGCCAAAGGTGCATGAGTTGGGCAGTTGCGAACGGTTGTTTGGGTTTGAGCATGCTCTTGCAAAAGAACATCTTAGAGGCGTCTATATTGGGCCGTCGGCGGAACACTTTGTAGCCTGCAACCAATGAATGATTTTACTTCGAGCTACTCCAAGTAGCTGACTTTGCCCATGAAAAAACGCTAAGCCGCTTAAGGCTCAAGGCCAAAGCGGAACCATTCCCGGCTAAAAATAGATTCAGGACGCGTTAGAGGATTTAACCAATTAGCCAAGTCAGCTTCACTGGAAGCCTTCCACGACCTCCAAGCTGTTGTGACCCCCACCTTCACTTTCGCCTTCAGCTTCTCGTCAGCCGCCGGTTCCGCCTCCAGTTGCCAGACTTGGAAACTCGTTTAACAAATAACCACCCAATGCGTGCCGCTGCAGCACTGGGAAAATTAGCGAATCCCCTTTCTTTGTGAGGAAGAAAAATATTTGTCCCTTTTACCCAGGGACCAGAGACTACTGGAAATTTTGACAGAACTTCATGCGGGAATATAACTCGATGCATACACCAATCAACTCCTAGCCCGGTAAACATGAAAGGAAAAGGCCATTCTTTGCAGGTTGCTTTAGTGACCTACAACACGTGACTCGGTATTTGTCAAAAACAGGAGGGACCCCGAAAAAGTGCTTTCCTGTTTACCTCCCTTCATATTCAAACAACCCCAAGAAGAGTACAAAAAAAAACACAAAAACAAAGGACCTGCATAAGAGCAAGCTGGGCTGTTCTTGCCTCTGTTGTGTATTATTTTTGTTGTCGTCGCTGTTGTTGTTGTTTCCAATTCTCACCGCCGTGAGAGGTTTGCCACTTTTGGATAGGCGGGGCAGATGGGGTGGGGGGGGACATGCCCACATGTGCCATGCGTTTCACAAGTTGACCCTTTTCATGCACTTGTCTGGCTCAAAGGTCGGGGGGAGGGGGGCGGGATGTTTTGTCCGCGCATGCTCTGATTCTGCTTGTCTCTTGTTTTGCTTCTGCTCATTGCTGGAGTAGCGCCACCGAGCCGTTCGTCCATCCTTTGAGGCCTTTGGATCTTGATCAGCACATTGACACGTTTGTTGTTTTGCCTGCTGCGGATTCTGTTCAGTATTTTTAGGCGGCCCGGAGTGCAAGACCCTGAAACGTTTGTTGAACATAGCCTCGTCAAGATCGTGTGCCTTGCTGTTGTTGTTGGCCGTGGTGGTGACGATGGTGGTGAGGTGTCGTGTTATTGCGGCTGCGGTTGTGGTTGTTGGTTGCGGTCGTGGTCGTGGTTGTGGACGTTGTTGTTGCTGCTTTTTTTGTTGCTGTTGTCCTTGTCCTTGTCCTTGTCGTTTTTGTTGTTCACCATGATGATGTTGCTGTTGCTGCTGCTGCTGTTGCTGTTGCTGTTGCTGTTGCTGCTTGCTGTTGCTGCTGCTGCTGCTGCTGCTGCTGCTGCTGCTGCTGCTGCTGCTGCTGCTGCTGCTGCTGCTGCTGCTGCTGCTGCTGCTGCTGCTGCTGCTGCTGCTGCTGCTGCTGCTGCTGCTGCTCCTGGTCCTGTTCCTGTTCTTGTTCCTGTCCTGTTCCTGGTGTTGCTGCTGCTGCTGTTGTTGCTGCTGCTGCTGTTGCTGCTGCTGCTGTTGTGGTTGTGGGTGTGGCTGTGGTTGTGGTTGCGGTGTTAAATATGAAGTCTGGACACGGGAAAACCAAAAAAGTTACTGAGCCCCCTCACCCCCATGCCGCGCGCCTCTGGCGGCACCAGCTGCACCTCCCAAGTGGGCGGATTCGCTGCAGCCTTGCGGCTCTGGGCACGCCTGACGCCAGGCCCGTCGACCCAAACGCACAAGGACCTACCAAAGGGACCCCTGGAACCTTGCGCAAAGAGTGGACGACGCGTGGCCCGAAAACAAAATCTACCAACACACTGAGACAAGGGCACGCCGCGCGCCGCCAAGACATGGTGCGGCGCGATTGTGGCATTGCACCAGGCTCTGTAAGCTATCGCTGGAACCATACCAAGGCGCTTGGAGTCGCCGTAAATATCAAAGCATTCAACAGAGATTAAAGCGTTGGTGGGTGGCACGAGTGGAGAAAGCTAGCGCCTTTGCGCAGAGGACCTGCCCAGGGTTGCGCAGAGATGTGCGATTTGTTTCCGACTGGCAGGCCTGGGTGCACGTGTGCGCTGAGCCTCATGATCATGCGGCAACCTCTTGCCTCCAGTCGCCTCTTTTTTTTACGTAAGCGCTCCACGGAACTTTCCCCGCACTGTGCAAGTTCGTCTGCGCAAGTTCTCGCTGCAAGTTTCTCTGCGCAAAAGCTCTCAGAGCAAGTTTCTCGACAGAAGTCCTTTGCCAATTCTCTGTGGCAAGTTCAGCGGGCGCGTTTTGGCGTGCATATTTTTCAACGCCGGTAGTTCGGCTCCAGCATCTTGGCACAGCCCCCCGCTGCGGCTGATTGCTTGTGCTGGGGCTTCGCACTACGCTTCTGCACTGAAAAGCTTCGCTTTTCAAACTGGAGCAGACTAAGGGGGATTCGAGCCTGGGACTCCTCACTCCCACGAGCGGGCGCGCAACCCAGGCCCAGTTCCGAACTTCAAAACCGTTTTACCCCGCGCTCAGGCACCCGACACGCCTGATCTGCAAAAAAGGGCCGCGCGAGAATGTGAAAAGGTAGCATAAGCCCTCAGGTATCTCCGCAGAGGGTCTCGCTGAAACCACAGAACAGTGGAAAGAGTCTGGCACGCCGAATCTGTGAGAGCGCCAAAGTTTCGCAGACTGCGGTCGGTCTTGCCGTGCTGCCTTAAGAGACGAGTTTAAATTTAACTTGCACGTGCGAGTCTTCTGACGCAACTCTTCAGGCGCGCCCTTCACGGAATCTTTCGTGCAATCTCCCTCAACAGTCTCTCCTTGGCAGTTCTCTGCGCAATCTCTCGGGCGATCTCTTGGTGACATTTCTCTGTGAAATCTCTTGGGCGATCTCTTGGGTTACTTCTCGGGCGATCTCTCGGTGCTATCCCTCTGAAATATCTCAGGTGATTGTTCTGGACACTTCATTCGATATGCTTTCGGGCAAAGCTACACCCGGATACCACGCTTCAGCCAAAGTGTGAAGGGAAAGCTTGGCAAGCGTAAGTGAAAAGACTGATATGTGTAAATGGAAATCTTTAAACATCTGGGGCAAACGCCAAACAAATGCAAAGAGAAACCCCAACAAGTGGCGAGGGAAAAGCCCAAAAGTGCAAAGGGACTTGCGTCTTTTCAGGAGGTCTGCGGTTCGCCAATCTTTACGAAGTTCTACTGGAGCTTGGGTCCAATGTCGCAGTTTCGCTCAAACCCACCCAGGGAGACGCATGTGTCCATTCAAAGATACACTGCGGATTGGCAAATTGGCACGGAATCTTTTTTGGGTACCCGATAAGAGAGAGGCCTCTGTGTTTGGTCCTGGTGGTGTGCTGGCAACCGATGAACCGTCAAAGAATACAAACAAATATGTGTACATATATGCATATGTATAGAGATATACCACATAGGTGGTACCACTGTGTGTGTGTGTGCGTGTGTCAAAACTGGAGACCCCGGGTCCTTTCCAAAGAAAGGCAACTCCATGCAAAAAGGGCCCCTTTGTGTTCACACCAACCAGCTCTGGCCTCTTATTCCTCTCCCGCCACTTCGCAGCATTCTTTCGCCTCAAAACGAGTCAGCTCAGAGTTCTAGTCTGCCCACTCCCACGTGGAAACGATGTTTGCTTATTTTCCCTCTACCCCCGGAACAATGCCTAAAACAAGGTGCCCTCACTAGATGCACAACCAGGGGAACCGGGGGTTCACCAGGCGAAATCACACTCCGCGCGGTTGCACGTGCAGCTTGAGCAGAAGATGCGCCTCTAGACTGGGATGCATAGGGTGAAGTGTGTCCGCTTCCAAGTGAAACGGATTGATAAGCACCAAAGTGTCATAAGCCTAAACACCATGGTCATCTTTCTTTTGGACTGTGTACCAAGCGAGCACCTCAGGGCTGCGGACCATCTTCCCAGTATTGTTGGTGTAGTGTCAAACACGATACCAATTTCATCGGGTGCAATGAGGACAAATGGACAAAATCTACTCCACTAGGTAGGTGGCTTGTCAACCAGTAGAGTTCTTCCATCCTACCTGGCGCGAAATGGATTTTGTCCATTCGAATGAATGCATCTGCAAGACCTTGAAGTGTGAGCTTCCTATTAGCTCCCGAGCATTCACAACATATTGGGCTTGTCTCTTAAAAACACATGTGAACCAAATCCGTCTCACCGATAATCCCAAGCGTCTTCCTATCTTGACAAGACACCTGGTCCTCGAATAGATGACAACGCTTTGCCACGCTCACCACATGCTATGTGCCATTGCCATCTAAGCCCTGTCCTGGTAACCTCGGCTCTTGCCCATAAAAAAATAAAAATAAAAAAAAATGGCATGTTGATATTCTGGCATTTTTGTTGTCCGAGTGAAAATATGTTGTGTCCACCGCGAATTCATAGACCAGCCGGATCAATAGGAGTGTCACCCCCGAAAAAGAAGCATCCCTCAGTGGAACACCCTCCCTATCAACCAACCCAACTTGATGTTTATCATGTTCCCATCAGTGTTGGGTCAACCCCTTGCTTTATCATGTTTAAGCAGCTCTTTGTTCAACAGGCCTCCTCTTTGGTTTCTCTTGAAAGGAGGAAGCACCTGGCTGTTGAAACAAATCTCACCAACCTTGGTTCCCACTATCGACTCTGCACGGGGGGAAAATACGGCTGGCGCGAAAAAGAACAAACACAAAACAAGGATCGCAGCAAAGCACAAACACAAGACGCGGGAGTGGGGGGGGGGCCAAACGCGCTCTGGGGCCCCCGGGCACAGCAGAGTCGACCACCACTGGCTTGAACTCGGAGAACTGGGGGATCTCCAAATCCTCGAAGACCATGGCGCGCGAAAATCCGGCGCTCAAAATCGGGTTCAACTTCGCCAGTCGCGAGGGGCTTCACAACGCGGCTTTCGCACAGCCCACAGCGTGATGGGCTTGGTGTGAGACCTCTTTTCGGTTTGGGCTGTGTTTGTTGTTGCTTTTGCTGCCAGTTCCCAAAGGAAGTAAATCGGGGCGGACATCTCTGCCGGGCACCGAGTTGCTAAGTCTATGGGACCTCCAAACGCCGCCCCGGCGCTTTCGGCTTCGTGCCAAGGTACCTCTCCCAAGAACCCCAAGGAACCCACTCCAAAAGGATCTGACTCGTCTTGAAATAAAAATCCCCAAAGTGGGCTTCCTTTTGGTTCAACCCCAAAAAGAAATCCCGCAAAAGACACCCGCTGGCGCGCTGGATTTACTTCTCTCTCTCAGAAAGCGTGTGCGCTTGAGCCAATGCGCCGGCGCCAAACGCAAATCTGATGAGCCACGGGGTTGGCAGGAAGTCCCGAACAGGAACACTTGGCCCATGGGCTACCCTGGAAGAATGGTCAGATTCAGCTTCAGATTTGCTCAAGCCTAAGATACATTTTGGAGACACAAGAGCACCTGCAAGGATGCCCTTAAGAAAAATGGCCTTAGAGTCCCTTTGAAAAGCTCTAACAGAACTGGTCCTTCAAAAAGAAACCTTGGACAGGGCAAACATGAGCGTCCTTAAACGAGAGCTTTTGAATAGAAACAACCTCATAAAGAGAAAATAACATTCCTCGGATGATCATAAACCTATGAAAGGGATTTCTGAAATAATCTGTACCCACAACAAGAGATTGATAGTGGGGTCCCGAAAAACTGAAGGTTTTTCTTCTCGAGTTGCTTCCCTTTAAACCCCCCCCATAAGACAGGCTTGCCCTCAACAAACACACCCACATTGCACAATGGTCACCCGGCACAAGCTTCAACGCAGAGTAAGGATTGAACACCGATTCCCCCCCGAAGACTTAAACCCAAAGCTTCCTCTTGGGAAATCATTCAAGTCTACGTCTACCTGGGGGAGTCAAAATTGGAACCTGCCACTCCAAGCAGCAAAGCTCCAATGCTTCAACTGCCTCCTCTGCCAAGCAAGTCCTCGACTTTCACCGGAGAAAGAAGCGCTAAGTCAGACGACGGATATCTTTCTCTGCGCTCATGTCCAGGCATCCGCAGATTTCTGGAAGCTCGCGCAGCTGTGCAAGTGATCATCCTCCTCATGCATATCCCAGGAAAGCAACCAAAAACAAAGAACAAGGCAGCCAACACAAAGCCACAGCGCAAACGTCCAATCAGCAAAGCTCCAATGCTTCAACTGCCTCCTCTGCCAAGCAAGTCCTCGAAATCACCGGAGAAAGAAGCACTAAGTCAGACGACGGATATCTTTCTCTGCGCTCATGTCCAGGCATCCGCAGATTTCTGGAAGCTCGCGCAGCTGTGCAAGTGATCATCCTCCTCATGCATATCCCAGGAAAGCAACCAAAACAAAGAACAAGGCAGCCAACACAAAGCCACAGCGCCAACGTCCAATCAGCAAAGCTCCAATGCTTCAACCGCCTCCTCTGCCAAGCAAGTCCTCGAAATCACCGGAGAAAGAAGCACTAAGTCAGACGACGGATATCTTTCTCTGCGCTCATGTCCAGGCATCCGCAGATTTCTGGAAGCTCGCGCAGCTGTGCAAGTGATCATCCTCCTCATGCATATCCCAGGAAAGCAACCAGAAACAAAGAACAAGGCAGCCAACACAAAGCCACAGCGCCAACGTCCAATCAGCAAGGCTCCAATGCTTCAACCGCCTCCTCTGCCAAGCAAGTCATCGAATTCACCGGAGAAAGAAGCACTAAGTCAGACGACGGATATCTTTCTCTGCGCTCATGTCCAAACATCCGCAGATTTCTGGAAGCTCGCGCAGCTGTGCAAGTGATCATCCTCCTCATGCATATCCCAGGAAAGCAACCAGAAACAAAGAACAAGGCAGCCAACACAAAGCCACAGCGCAAACGTCCAATCAGCAAAGCTCCAATGCTTCAACTGCCTCCTCTGCCAAGCAAGTCCTGGAATTCACCGGAGAAAGAAGCACTAAGTCAGACGACGGATATCTTTCTCTGCGCTCATGTCCAGGCATCCGCAGATTCCTGGAAGCTCGCGCAGCTGTGCAAGTGATCATCCTCCTCATGTATATCCCGGGAAAGCAAAAAAACAAAGGACAAGGCAGCCAACACAAAGCCACAGCGCCAACGTCCAATAAGCAAGGCTCCAATGCTTCAACCGCCTCCTCTGCCAAGCAAGTCCTCGAATTCACCGGAGAAAGAAGCGCTAAGACAGACGACGGATATCTTTCCCTGCGCTCATGTCCAGGCATCCGCAGATTCCTGGAAGCTCGCGCAGCTGTGCAAGTGATCATCCTCCTCATGCATATCCCAGGAAAGCAACCAAACATGGAACGAGACAGCCAACACAAAGCCACAGCGCAAACGGCCAATCAGCAAAGCTCCAATGCTTCAACTGCCTCCTCTGCCAAGCAAGTCCTCGAATTCACCGGAGAAAGAAGCACTAAGTCAGACGACGGATATCTTTCTCTGCGCTCATGTCCAGGCATCCGCAGATTTCTGGAAGCTCGCGCAGCTGTGCAAGTGATCATCCTCCTCATGCATATCCCAGGAAAGCAACCAAAAACAAAGAACAAGGCAGCCAACACAAAGCCACAGCGCAAACGTCCAATCAGCAAGGCTCCAATGCTTCAACCGCCTCCTCTGCCAAGCAAGTCCTCGAAATCACCGGAGAAAGAAGCACTAAGTCAGACGACGGATATCTTTCTCTGCGCTCATGTCCAGGCATCCGCAGATTTCTGGAAGCTCGCGCAGCTGTGCAAGTGATCATCCTCCTCATGCATATCCCAGGAAAGCAACCAAAAACAAAGAACAAGGCAGCCAACACAAAGCCACAGCGCCAACGTCCAATCAGCAAAGCTCCAATGCTTCAACCGCCTCCTCTGCCAAGCAAGTCCTCGAAATCACCGGAGAAAGAAGCACTAAGTCAGACGACGGATATCTTTCTCTGCGCTCATGTCCAAACATCCGCAGATTTCTGGAAGCTCGCGCAGCTGTGCAAGTGATCATCCTCCTCATGCATATCCCGGGAAAGCAAAAAAACAAAGGACAAGGCAGCCAACACAAAGCCACAGCGCAAACGTCCAATCAGCAAGGCTCCAATGCTTCAACTGCCTCCTCTGCCAAGCAAGTCCTGGAATGCACCGGAGAAAGAAGCACTAAGTCAGACGACGGATATCTTTCTCTGCGCTCATGTCCAGGCATCCGCAGATTTCTGGAAGCTCGCGCAGCTGTGCAAGTGATCATCCTCCTCATGCATATCCCAGGAAAGCAACCAGAAACAAAGAACAAGGCAGCCAACACAAAGCCACAGCGCAAACGGCCAATCAGCAAAGCTCCAATGCTTCAACTGCCTCCTCTGCCAAGCAAGTCCTCGAATTCACCGGAGAAAGAAGCACTAAGTCAGACGACGGATATCTTTCTCTGCGCTCATGTCCAAACATCCGCAGATTTCTGGAAGCTCGCGCAGCTGTGCAAGTGATCATCCTCCTCATGCATATCCCAGGAAAGCAACAAAACAAAGGACAAGGCAGCCAACACAAAGCCACAGCGCCAACGTCCAATCAGCAAGGCTCCAATGCTTCAACTGCCTCCTCTGCCAAGCAAGTCCTCGAAATCACCGGAGAAAGAAGCACTAAGTCAGACGACGGATATCTTTCTCTGCGCTCATGTCCAGGCATCCGCAGATTTATGGAAGCTCGCGCAGCTGTGCAAGTGATCATCCTCCTCATGCATATCCCAGGAAAGCAACAAAACAAAGGACAAGGCAGCCAACACAAAGCCACAGCGCCAACGTCCAATCAGCAAGGCTCCAATGCTTCAACTGCCTCCTCTGCCAAGCAAGTCATCGAATTCACCGGAGAAAGAAGCACTAAGTCAGACGACGGATATCTTTCTCTGCGCTCATGTCCAGGCATCCGCAGATTTCTGGAAGCTCGCGCAGCTGTGCAAGTGATCATCCTCCTCACGTATATCCCGGGAAAGCAAAGAAACAAAGGACAAGGCAGCCAACACAAAGCCACAGCGCAAACGTCCAATCAGCAAAGCTCTCATGCATCCATGCATCAACTGCTTTCTCTGTCGAGCAAATCCTCAAAATCACCTGCTTCAGACTCAGGGTCAGATGTGCGTAACAGCACACTGGCAAAATGCCCCCCACCCCAATACGGAGAAACGTTGACCCCCGCTCTCCATACATTATGTCACTTGTACGCATCAATCCATGTATGGGGGATGGTCCTTCGGGAGGGTACAGCCCTCCCTCCATCTCCCTTCTATACATCTGCCAATCTCAAAATATGTCCAAAACCTGAAAAAGGAAATGGATCCCCAGTAAAGGACCTACATCATGGCGTTCGCTCGTCCGGGAATCGGCGAGTTCGCCGATTCCCACGTGGCAGGCCCATGACTTGAAGGGTGGGGACTCGGCAATGACCAGTGGGACTCGGAAAGGTGATGAGGACTCAAAGGAGATCCAAGTCTCCGAAGGACCGGTTTCTTGTTTGCTTAAGGTTTCTACCAAACCGCTACAAGAACAAAAACATTGTGACTACAAAAAGGTTAAAACAGGAGAAAACAAAAAGAACAAACACGTGTTTCCCCTGGGGGTATTAGAGGGTAGTGCAAACACTTAGATCTCAATAGGTCCCCGTTTGCCGCAGCATGGAAGCGACCTGCGCATCGGGCCTAGCTGTATGGGAGCCTTGAAAATGTGAGCTACGCGGCAGAACTCCCAAAGGTTGAAAAGGTGGTTCTCTTGGACTCCCACATTGGTGTCGCGTTGGGTCTCTTGTGGTTTTCTGTTTGGATTCCTACGCTAAGTACTTCTCCTGTTCGACTTCTGTGTGGCCCGCTGGTGTTTTTTTCTTTTGGACTCGTCAAAACAAGCTCCCGAAAAGTGGGCCAATGCCTGAAAAGGGGCATTTGCCGCCCATG